GTATCTATATAACTAATATCTCGAAAAAAAAAAAAAAAAAAAAAAATAGAGTAGAAATTATCGGAATAGATATACATATATAAATACATACATATATTACTTTAGACTGATCTTGCTTCATTTTTTATACAAGATTCTGCATTTATTTCTTTTGTGCATTAAGATTGTGCCTAATGTTAAAAATAAATTTGCGCATAATAGTCTAAATTCTTTGCTAAATTAAAAATAATGTAAATAATTTTCGTTTTATATTTTTAATAAACGATTAATATATATAAATTTGCCTTATTTACCTTATATATATGATTTGCCTCATTAACTGATCATTTAAAAATAGTAAACTTTATTATAAGTTGTTGATGACAAACATGATATATGGCCTCTAACTTTAATTGCGCGTTGTTGAATATGTTCTGAAAACATTTGATCATTCTTTGCAAGTATCTCCAAACATCCTCAATAATTTCCATTGTTCACAGATCCAATATTATCATTATTTCCACGAAAAGCAAGACCTCTTGCCGACAATAATTTAATTACACTTAAAATCTGTTTTGTGAAGTTGACATCAATAGTTTCCTTTAGAAATGTAGTGTTTTACAAGACTTTCATTTATGCCTTCTCTCTGGTTTTAATCAAAAAAATTTTATCAATACTATTTCTGCGCAAAGTACTGGCTCCATGGCGATTTAAATTCCATAATAATTTTTTCCAATTTTAATTAATACTAACATTGACGTTTCTTTAGTTTCTATAAGTAGGTTACAATTACAACAGAATATCTTACCAGTTTTTTAAAGATTAACAAAGCCAACACGTTAAACTTTCTTACCGTTTATATGCTATCAAAAAGCAAAAGAACTTTGAACAACAAACTTATCAACAGAAAAAATACCTTTTGACATGCTAAAGTTGGTTTTCATGTGTTGACAATTAGCAATTCCTTGGAAACAGAAATAGTTACGTAAAACTACAGTAGTTTTCCATATTCCTTTATTACCAGGAGACTTCGAATCTATATCTGCAAGCTTATCACAATTGCATTTCCACATTAACATCTTTTGCTAGACCTTCTACTAAAGCTGATTTATCTTGAAGTTCTTTTTAATTATTTATATTTGATATTGAGTTATCTAACATCTCTATACCTATTACTTAGTCATAATCATCAACCTATGTATTATAATTGCTTGATCTTTTTTTCTCAGTTGGCCTGTTTTTATAGTGGGCTTGTGGCTTTAGTCTTTTCAGCCTTTGCCTTAATACGGTCCTGGGTTTTTTATTCAGCTTAGGAAAACTTTAACCTCTTCTAGTTGAACAAGCAATACCCATATTGATTCTGTTTGCTATTGCGTACCTTTGTGAATCAGGATTCTCAGCATTACAGTCAATAAAAACAAAAAATGTAACCAGCTTGATGTTATAGATAAAATAAGTCTTAAGTTAGATATATCTCGTTCAAAACAAACAGCATCAATCATTTCAATAAACAACTTTCAAGCGCTAAATTTTACTTTGTATTATACGGTGCGTTGAATAAAAAGGCATCCCAAAAGTCCTTATAATATTATACTACACATTTAAGTTTAAAGCTTCATTTTTATTGTAAATAAAAGCTAAAGGTTTTCAAAACTCAACAAAATTATTACTATTATTGTTTTTTTTTAACGCCAATTTTTGATTAAAAAAAAAAACAGTTTTTTTCAGAGCAGAAAAGAGTCTTAAATTCAATTATTTATTCTTTTTATTACCCAAGTTACAGCTAAAAAAAACTAAGAATATTAGACAAATAGATAATACCATTAGTCGAAGTTTAATTTTATTTTTTTAAAATATCTTCTTACATTAAGTTTTTAAATATGGCTTTTTATTCTTCCATATTCAAGAACTCTAAGGATTTGTTTAGAGTTGCTAATACTTTATCTTCTGCTTAAGCAGAACGTTTAATAATGAATTTTTTTTATCTTCTATCAAACATTGGGTAAAGTTTAGCTTAAATTGGTTGCAAGTTTGTTCTTTGTAATAATTGCTAAGTGGTTATTCTTTAATGATTGTGTCAAATTTAGGGAAAAACAAGTCGGATTACTCAGAAGTCTGAAAACAGATTTTTTTTGTTTTGAAAGAGAGTTGTAGCCATAAAGATAAAAAAGAATATATATAATTTTTGCTGTACTTAAATATGCTGAAAAGGAGTTTTAATGCTGATCTTCTGACAGCGTCTAATTTATCAAAAATGTTAAATATCGGAAAAAAACTTAATAACTTGTCTTTTATAAAAAAAAGCTTCTGAATTTTATAAAAATCAAAATTAAATATTTTTATTTTCTTAAATCACTTGAACCACTCAAGAAGATAAAGTATATATAAGTATCATACATTTTTTTTATGTACAAAATGTTATTTTTTTCTAGTTATTTAGGCGCTTCCAAAAGTCTTTACGGTCTTATCATAGCACACCGCAGTAGAGCATTTAACAGAAAGTTAACGACTCCTTCCATACCAATGTCGCTTGTTGGGCTAGAACTGGCATCAAACCGCGGATCTCTGGGTTCTGAGCCAGAACTCTAACTACTGAGCCACGGTTGCTCATTGCATTCCATGCAGGTGCGATCGATGATTTGAAGTTACCTTGTGAACTATATTGTTTATTATCTTCAAACACTATATGATAGCTGTCCCCAAATATTTTTAATAATATTCAGGTTGGGGGAAATAGCTGATCATTTCAATCTTACAATTTTAGTGTTGTTAAATTAATTCTCTATTATCTTACCTGAATGAACAGTAATATTATCTTGCAGAAAAACAAAATTTTCACCATCAGTTACATAAATATTCTTAAATATTCTTGAATACAAAAAAATAGTCTTAGTCTTAAATAATTTATCAAGAAAATGAGCATCTAGTTTGCCGTCATACCCAATCACATACAAAACTCTTAAAAAAAACTTTTTTTATATAAAAAACAATAGTCGTTACCACAAACTGATTCATGTTAATCTTGTAAACCTGTTTCTGCAGCAATTAGACGTAAAGTTAATGAAAAATTTTAGACTTTTCTTAACAACTTTTGGCTATTGCATTTACCTAATGTTGATGAACGTCCGTGACTAAATTTTATTCAATACTTACAAAGATTTTTGACGTAGTTTTGAATCACAATTTTGCTGTATCTAATGGCTCCAACCATCTAACGAATGAAACCACCCATTTATGCTAAGTTAAAGAGGTGCTTTTTTTTTACTGTACTCACCGGTTGAGAACAACCAATAATTAAATTATTTCTTATTTTATTTTTAATAAAAATAGCCTAACTTATATTTTTGACAGTTCAAAATAGTTTCAAATAATCGTTTGTGGTGTTAACATCAAATAAATATTCTTAATTGCTCACTACTGTGCTGTGCAAAAAAAAGTTATTGATAAAACTTTTTATAAAGTTGCCGCAATCAAAAAATTAATTTTATAAAATAAAACTTGGTGAACTCTTTTAAATTAAGTTAAAAATAAACTTTTAAAATCATTATTTGTGCACAATTGTGTTATTTAAAGTTTTAGAGATGCCTTATTATTTTGCTGTGAAGTTTAATAAGTAAAGATTTCTTTTTAAATCCTTTTTTTTCTTTCCTCATAGATTTACATTCGGTCTTACAGATAGCTAAAACTTTTATTGTAATCCATGGCTACAAAAAGGTTAAGAACCACTCATATAAAATTTCACTTTTTTTTAACATATAGCTTTTTTCTTTATACAGCTTTAATACAATTCCTAACCTAATAAGCAAAACAAGAGGCAACACTTATTCTAAAGTTATTATGAGTACAATCAATGAATCAATAATTGATCATGAAACTTACCATAAGACCTTAATTTGATGTCTAAACTCTAATGTCCCCAAACATCATCAACAAAATTAAACTATCTTTGTTTTAACGACTAACTTTATTTAATATAATAAAAATAATACCAAAGAATAATATTCCCAAAACGAAAACATTACCATGACATATATACTATATATATAGTATATATATATAGTATATATATATATATATATATATATATATATATATATATATATATATATATATATATATATATATATATATATACATATATATATATATATATATATGTATATATATATATATATATATATATATATATATATATATATATATATATATATATATGTATATTTATATATATATAAATATATATATTTATATATATAAAAATATATATTTTATATATATGTATATATATATATATATATATATATATATATATAAATATATATATATATATATATATATATATATATATATATATATATATATATATATATATATATATATATATATATATATATATATATATATATATGTATATATATATATATATATATACATATATATATATATATATATATATATATATATATATATATACATATATATATATATATATATATATATATATATATATATATATATATATATACATACATATATATATATATATATATATACATACATATATATATATATATATATATATATATATATATATATATATATATATATATATATATATATATATATATATATATATATACATATATATATATATATATATATATATATATATATATATATACATATATATTTATATATTTATATATATATATATATATATATATATATATATATATATATACATATATATATATATATATATATATATATATATATATATATATATATATATATATATATATATATATATATATATATATATATATATATATATATATATATATATATATATATATATATATATATATATATATATATTTGTATATATATATATATATATATATATTTATATATATATTTATATATATGTGTATGTACACATAAATACATATGTATACTAGTTATATTAAATAAAAAGAAATAATCTTTAGGATAATGAGTCCAAAAACTACAATACTTACAATATATTTATACTGGCTATTTTTAGTTTTAAAAAATCCATTTGGAACACTTTCATACATCAAGGTAACAAAAGGTGGAAGGAAATATTCTAATGTGATATTATAACCATACCCAATTAACTCAAAAGATAAGTTGAGCATATTTCTAAATCATCAAAAAATATATTTTTATACAACGATTACTTAATTAAAAAAAAATAAAAGTTTACTTTCTTCTTTCTATGAGTTTGTACACATGTTGTACACGTTTTGAAACACCAATTTTTTTTGCGTTAAACCCGGCAAAATGTCTAAATAGTCGATGAATAACGAATGAAATAAGAAAATCCTCAAAACAAAAGCAAAATCTATATGGAAAATAATTATAAAATATAATTAAAGCAAACCTATCCATCTGCAAGCAATACAAAAACTTATTTGAAAAAAAAAAAAAAAAAATATGCATTATTCTAATCAAATACAAAATGTTAATGGAAACTCAAAAAAGTCATGGAACATTATGAAGGAAATTATTGGTAAAAGCAAATCTAATTTTAACAAAATGCCTTCTAGAGAAATAATTAATAAAAGAGAATCAAATAACAAGCGAGATATTTCAAATAAATTTAACAACAACTTTGCTAACATTGGTGCTGATTTTGCATCAAAAATTCAATGCACAAAAAATATATTTTAAAGTTACTTAATAGACTCACACTGCTTTTTTAATTTCAATGAAATAAATCAAGACGAACTTGAAGTAGCTATAAAATCAATTAAAATCAAGTCCCTAGGATCATCTTTTTCAAAGTAGAGTTAGATGTTTTTGAGGAGACACGTGATCCAATTTGCCAAGTATTTAATTCATCAGTTACAACAGGTATTGTACCTGATAGACTGAAAGTATAAAAAAATATATTATTCTATAAATCAGAAAAAACCAATTCTTTAAACAATTATAAACCAAACCCAATCCTTTTGGTATTCTTAAAACTTCTAGAACGAATAATCTACAATAAATTAAATAAATATTTAAAAACGACCAAATTATCAATTTGGTCGTTTTGGTTTTCAAAAGGTCAATTTGGTTTTTAAAAGCTACGCTCAACTGAGCATGCAATCCCTGACGTATCGAATAGGGTACGTAGATCATTTAAAAAAAAAATTACATTAGGGATCTTTATTGATATATCAAAGGCATTTAAAATCGTCAACCACGAGATTTTACTGAAAAAATGAAAAACTATGGCGTAAAAAACCAAGCTTTAAATTGGTTTAAGAACTAACTAAATAACAGACAACTGCGTGTTATTATAGAAAAAAAAGCAACTCAAGTTTGCTAAGAAAAAAGTGTGGTGTACTCCAAGGTTCCTTTCTTGCTCCTCTTTTGTTTCTTATATATATAAACGATCTTCCAAATGCCTCTTTATCTTTAGAGCTATAATGTTTGTCGACGACGCAAACTTAACTTACTCAGCAATTACAAGACAATCAAAGACCTTTTTGAAAAAACAAATGCTGAACTAAATAAAATTAATATATGGTTTAAATCGAATAAACTGTCACTCAATATAGAAAAAACTAAGTACATACTATTTTACTCTGATCAACAAATTAAAAAAATATCCCTGAACCTATCAACAGTTAATATAGAAAATATATCTATCAAAAGAGTTCTGAATATAAAGTTTTTAGGAGATCTAATTGACGAAAATATCTCCTGGAAATCCCACATAAACTACATTAATACAAAAATATCAAAGAGCATTGGTTTATAATACAAAGCAAGACATTTTTTGTCACAAAAAAGTCTAAAACTTGTCTACTTTTCATTCATACATAGCTACCTGATGCATGCCAATATAGCATGAAGCAGTACCCACAAATCTAAATTAGAACCACTTTACCTACGTCAATAACACGCTTCAAGACAGTTATACAACAAAAATAAATTTGCTTATGCTCAACCCTTATTATCAACGCACTAAATATATTTCAAATAACTATTTTTCAAAATATACGTTTCATGTTCAAATATAAGCTAAATTGGTATAATAAATATAAGCTAAAGAGCAAAAGGCAACTTTAAGATACCGTTTGAAAGAACAAGACTCTCAAAATTTTTAATTACATACTGTGGCCCCTATTTATTTAACAAAATAGTTTCCAGAAAAAAATCACTATTATACCTAAACAACGAACACTCTCTGAAAACAAAGCTAAAATCTACAATAGCCAAGTTAATCAAATATAATGAGTTTTTTAGATTTAATTAAAAAAAAAAAGTTAAATGTAACTTATCTTTTAAAATAGATCGATAAAAAGTAATAGTAATGATAATATTAATAAAAAAGTACGTTTGTACGACATACATATATACCACGTATGCCACTGATTTTTATGTATATTACTCGTCCAGAAAAAGGTACTCGACAACAAGACTGACTTAAATCTTCTGCGAGCTTCCTATAACTACTAACAAGTAGTTCTTCTTATCAATCTTATACAAATTTTGTTTTTATCATATCTATACACAAACATTAGTTTGAAATGTGGTAAATAAACTTATATCAAATATCTAAACACTCCGAAAAGTTAGCTAATTTATTTTTATTTATTGTATTTTTTATTTTAAATGGAATATTATAAAGAAATATTTATCGGATTATTTTTACGTACACGTTACTTCATTTTTGTAATTAATGTTCATTTTGATCGTGTCTCGGAGTTGTATGCAGCTATGTTTTTATTTACTTCGCATATTTCGAACTTTATATTTATGATATTTATGTTTGCATATTTTTAACGCCAATGGTTACTTGTAAATACTATGTAGTTGTAAAATAAAAATTAAAAAAAAAAAAATTTTTTTGTAAGAAACACAAAATCTCTTCAGAAATTCAATTATTACAACGGAGTGAAAATAGCATTTTTTTTTTATTGATTTGATCTATTCGTAATCTATTCGTGAAATTTATTTAATAATTTGCGGAAAAAACTTATATTCGGTACAAACTTATTGTAGAGTTAATTCGTACCAAGTATAAATTTTTTACACAAATCATTAAATGAACCCACTCTTTATAATGAGACTTCGAGTAATAGTTATCTCAAAGTTCTTTTTACAAAAAGATTTTATTAATCTAAGCAAAAAAAAAAGTTAGAAAAAACCCTTAAAAATATCAGGGTTAATAATTTTTTTTTTTTAAGTTCAATCTTAGTATTACAAAACAACTTAAAAAAAAAAAAATTTACAAACTAATGAATTGAAACACTCTAACATAAAATCCACTCAGAAATTGTTTAACTGTAATACAACAAATAATTAAATAGAGCTGAACCAGCAACGCAGTGGTAGAAATTTAAAAAAAAACCGCAACAATGTATATACAGAATCGGACAAAACAAGTGCAACCAAATAATGCTAATTTAGTTTCTTTATATAAAAGCGCTGCATTTTTTCAATTTAGAGAAACAACTATATAACTATTTAGAGAGAACGTTCTTCAAGTTTTATTCATCACTAAGTTCATTATTTGTACACGAAAATTATTAAATAAATCAAAAGTATTAAAAAAAGTTGATTTCCTTCTCGACAAAACAAGTGCAACTCCACAAAATGTTAACCAAGCTGTATTTTGCTATCAATATTTCGTGGCGAATCCTTCGTTGTTGATAACAGTCTTGCATCTTTGAGGCATAGATCCGATCAAGTGATCAATGAAACTTTGAAGAATCGCTGCCCAAGCTTTTTGGGCAGCGATTTGTTCAAACACTTGATCCTTATTACGAACACCTTCACGATTAATTCTGCGGTTGAAAATCTCCACAGGTTCTCGATAGGGTTAAGATCCAAAAATTGAGGCGGCCAATCCATCACCGATAGTTGGTTGTCTTGAAAACACTGTTTGACTACTTTCGCAGTGTGTTTCGGATCGTTGTCTAATTGAAAAACCCATTTTATTGGCATATTCCATTCAGCATGAGGTAAAATAACATCTTTCAGGATATTTTAATATGAAACGGTCCATTAATCCATCGATTCAATGTATTGAACCTAGATCGTAAGCAAAAAAAAAAAACTTGACCATTACATTGCCTCCACCATGCTGAACTTCGATTCATCACTGAACAGGACAATTCGCCATTTCTGCATATTCCAGTCAATATGAGATGCAGCAAACAAGAGTCTTTTTTTCTAGTTATACAGTGAAATCAGTGTTTTCTTTCAAAGGCGTCGAGAAAACAATTCGGCTTCAACAGCACGTCGTCTGATTGTTCGCTCCAATACAGCCAGCTCTAATTGCATTTGTATCTCGACTGATAACATCCAGGGATCCTTCTTGATGGATCTGACAATCATAGAATCCTCTCTAGAAGTGGTGGAACGCTGTCTTTCACCTTTGTTATCTGCTGCCAACGTCCCCATAAAACAATGTTTTGAACATAGTCTTGATATGGTCCATTTTTTCACGCAATACTCATCACAAATAATTTTTGTGACATTCCACTTACGTAATAAATGCTTATAATTTTCTTTCTTAGTTTCAATCCAAGACTGTTGGGAGCCTTTTTTGCACTTGAATTCATAAAAATAATAACAATAAATAATCACGCTTTTCAAGGCTTTTTGTGTTACATTGACCTCGTGATGATACAATAATGCTCTGTGGAAAGCAATATCTTGGTTGGATGTGGACTCTATTTATGTAATGAAACACTTGTTGTATTTCACTTCTTGTATTGATGTTCTTCAATAAAACACTTTGATAAAACTCACTTCGATAAACTGTCTTGATTATACTGACTGATTGACTTTCATATACTGACTCAATTACATGTTGGTTTACATGCCTCTTATATAGTAAATTAAACCTGTAACAACCTGTTCTGGATGATTCTAGATGCTTATTTTTGATGCTTCTGGAATCTTCTTGATGCGTCTGGATGCTTCTGAATGTTTTTGGATATTTTTGGATGCTTTTGGATGCTTCCAAATGCTTCTTCTAGAAACTTCTGGAAGCTTCTGCATGGTTTTGGAAACATCTGGATACTTCCTTTAATTATTAAACAACTTCCATGACATAAAGAAAATGAAACAAACTAAAAAAGTTGCACTTGTTTTGTCCGCTGCAAAATGGCACTTGTCAACAAAATTCTGCTTGTGTGCTGTCACCGGTCAGCTGATTGCTTATGTCATTGCATGCTATGGCACCAGACTTCTGAACTGTTTGCTGGGGTAGTATAGTTCGTTTTGTTTTTAAGACATGTAAAAGTAGGAACCTTTTTGAGAATTGTTCGATGTTGGTTGCAAATGTTTTGTCCAAAATACTGTACGAACTTGTACTTTATAAATCGATTGTTCCAAAAAATACCTCAGCTTTAGAATACCAATGTCAAATAGGTAAAAGTTAATGATAAAAACAATAAGTGAAACAATTTAATCAAGTCTAACGTTTGCATATTATTTTATTTTTGCATAATTACCTAAAAATTTAATCTGGCATTAAAATCATTCTGGTGAAATTGAATCTTAACAAAGATTCTTACCTGTTGACAAACCCATGAATGCAGCCATCGATATAAGTGCCTAAATAAAAACTTTTATGTATGCACGTATTAATAAATATTTATTCGAGTATACATAATACCTTTTACTTTATTTATTAAAACTATTATAAGTTTAAAATAATTTTTTTTTTTTTTTTTTTTAAATTTTTGCTGCCCAAAAAACTGGACATGATGTGAAAACAACAAAAAAATAATTTCATTTATTTTGTTGTCAACATGGTTTGAAACATTTAGTATGAATATAAGAAAAAAACTATATACTCGAGTAAAAATACAGGTTAATAGAGTTTTCTCAAAAACCATCAAAAACAACTGATTTGTACAGTTCCCTCTGGAACTGTACAAATCAGTTGTTTTTTGATGGTTTTTGAGAATTATATTTTTAAAAATGGGCTATAGAGGTCATTATATATAATCTGCATTTTCTACGTAGTAAGAGCCTTATAAAGTATTAAATACACTTACTACTTTCATCAATTTGATAGTCAGATGAGTTTCCAAACACATATATACCAAACTCATTTTTCAAACCAGCGGTAAACGTATGAATGGTGTAGTTATGCAACAAGTCAACATTAACTGAGTTTCCAGAAACATTGTATAACATGTAATCTCTATTTTTTCCATATTTAACTACAAAACTTCTAGATACATTTTGGATTTGTATTGACGCATTAATTATCACTTTAACTGCATATCTGGTTATCCGACGAATTGTTTTTATGTGTAAATCTTAAAAATTAAATAACAAAATATTATCTATAAAAATGTGTAATTCAAAACAGTTATTAATTTTCTTTTTTAACAAATTTAAGTTGTTGTATAATTCAAAAATAATACTTTGCATGTTTTCAAATTTGCTTGGTTGTGCAATTGTAACAACTGAAATAACACTGAAAATAAACTTTGTTTTAACAAAATGCGCCAAAAGTGAGAGCAGCGAAAAAAAACATGAGTAATAAAAAAGACAAACATAAAAAATGTTTTGAGCGTTAAATATTTTCCCGAACAGATCAATAAGACTAAGAGTTGTCTCTATCATATTCTAAAAGTTACAAACTAAAACCTTCAAATAAAAACATTACCATGACACAGAAAATTTGAGAATAATAAAAAAACTATTACTTATGGAAAGCTGCTAAAAACTTTAATTTATTAATTTCCAAAAGCTAAACTATATTATCTGAATAGTTTACTTGTTTAAAAACTTGTTTAAAAATTTCTTCAACACATGCTTCCCGTTTATAAACAGTGAGAATTAAGGTAAAAGTAGAATATAACGCTCTAAGTAATTTCATTTTTTTTGAGAATATAACAGTTTATGGACATGAAAACTAAGCGTAGGCAACAATAATTGTCAAAATATATTCTTCGTTATTGCACAGCTGCATTGCGCTAACCCAAGGTGTTTCTTAAATTTCTGGAAATTACAAAGTCTCAATTAAATTTATGTCTTTGCCGAGAATAATATATATGGGCAATTCCACGGCAAAGAACGAGTATATGGTCAAATTTTATTTGTATTTTGACAAATTTTAGCAAATGAATATTGATTTAAACAAATAAATATAAATTTTTTTAAATATACCATTAATACTAAAAATAATTAGTTTAATTTTTTTGTTTTTTGTTTTTTTGATCTTTACCTTTATAACTTTGAGATTTAATAAATTTTCGCTCGAAAAGAATGTGTAAATATATATATATATATATATATATATATATATATATATATATATATATATATATATATATATATATATATATATATATATATTTATATATATTTACATATTTATATATTTATATATTTATATTATTTATATATTATATATATATATATATATATATATATATATATATATATATATATATATATATATATTTATATATATATATATATATAATATATATATATATATATATATATGTATATATATATATATATATATATATATATATATATATATATATATATATATATATATATATATATATATATTTATTTATTTATATATTTATATATTTATATTTATATAAGTCATGTCGTCGAGAACCGCTAAAAAGTTAATTTGTTAACATTTCGTATTAATAAATTATTCTCAAAATAAACAAATAAATAAACTTTATATACTTTTATGCTTGAAGTTATCATTATATTTTTAAAAACAAAAGAAAAAAGGGTTTTTTTATAAATACTTAGATGCGTTATACGGTTTTAAGATACCTTTAACAAAAGTGCTAAACAACAATTTAAAAATTGTAAAATTATAAATTTTTATAATGCAGTGTTTAATTTGAAGTTAAAAAAAAAAAGAATTTAAATAAAGATATATCATCTAATAAAAAAAAGACATTTTTATGTTTTTGTTTGAAAGAGTCGTAGCTAACTTCTTGAGAAAAGTCAAAGTTCTTTAAAACTATTTTATTCCAAAGTAATGCTTCTCGAAATGAAATACATTATTTTCCAGAATTAGTTTGATAAGCTAATTGACGAATGTCGTAATTATATTGTAAATAGTAACTAGTGTTTTTTTTTCTTTTGTTATACAAATTATGAAAAAATACAGATGAAATATTGTTTTTACATTTAAATGTAAAGCATATAACGTTATATTAGACTCATATATTTTTTTCGGCTCATTTATTTTTAAATATTAGACTCATATATTTTCAAAACTTTTATTTCTATTATTAGAGGCTCGGCATAAGTAAATCGATCCTTAAAATTAATAAGGCGTGCAACATTTTTTGTTTACGATAAAGAGGTTCCAGTTTACTTTTATTAGAACTACCCAACACAATGTTCGCATAGTTTATGTGACAATGAATGAGAAAATAATATAGTTTAAGTATAATTTAGTTAATTAGAAAATGCCTAGCTTCGTATAAAATTCCTATAGTTTTTAATATTTTACAACTCAACTTTTATATGTGAATTTTTCATCAATATAAATACCAAGAAAGTTGGTAACTGTTACTTTTTTGAGACGTATGTTATTATTAAAAAGCGTTTGCATGTCATTTAGTATAAGGTTTTTTTTGTGATTTGGATGGAAAAAAATCCTTTTCATTGTATTAATATTAAAAAACAGTTTATTTGTCTTAAACCAGTTAGAAACTCTTACTAGTTCATTATTGATATTCTGAAATAACAATGCAATACCATTATGAGATTTATATATATTAAGTTTGTTTCATCTGTAAACATAATCATCATTAAATTTGAGTTTTTATGGAGATCGTTAATGTAAATAAGAAAGAGAAGAGGCCCTAATATTGATTCCTAAGAAAATCCACAGGTTATATCTTTTTTAAGAATATAACAGTTTATACACCTGAAAACTAAAAGTAGTCAATAATAATTGTTTGTCCAATAGAAACAAAAAATGTATTTAGATCGTTAGCTATCTCTTTTTTATCATACGAAAATTTATCATTTAATTTGATGGTTTTAGGCAATGTAAATATGTTCATTTTAAAACTGCCTGTAATTTTGTTTATAACTTTCTACGAGCGCCTTCAATTAAATTTATTTTCCTCAAGTAAATCATTGCAATAATTTTTTTTAAGATTTTTTTTCTAATGTTAGAATTGTTTGGCAAAACATTTATATATAGCTTTACTTTTATCTGTTTTTAGTTTTAGAAATTTAATTTACAATATTTGTTTGATTTTGGATGAATTTTTGAACCCTTCAGAAACCCATGGAGATTTTATATTTTCTAGTTTATAATCTATTTTTATTTGAATAAAAAAAAATTAAACAAAAAGACAGGTTAGCATCATCAAAATTGGAAATGGGCTACCATTAAAGAAGAGACAATTGCTCTTTAAATGTTTCAAATTCCTTTCAATTCAAATATGTTTAACAAAAATTTGATTTTATTTGGTGACCTATCCATTTTAGTATTAACGGAAAAGAAAACACGGAATTGACCAGAAATGTCACTTTATTTATGCCCTTGTTAAGAGATTCGTTAAATAAATTCGTTAAATAAACCTGGTCCTTGTTTAGATGTCCTTTTTTAAAACAATTCTTATTCAATATGAAACTTACAAAGTTTCCTAAAAAATTAAGTAACTTAGATAGTGAAGCAGCTCTAATTTTATGTTTTCTGTGATCATGCCTTTCTTTTGTAATTTGTTCTATGCTTAGGTAAATAGTACTACATCTTTTTAGAGCCATGAGGTTACTCAATATTTACAATACCATTATTAAAAAGCTCTCTACTAATAACCAATACGCTATGCCTTTCAAACCATCATAAGTGCTAGGTTCATTGGTATTTTTAGTATGATTTGGGATGATATTAGAAACACTTTTGATATTAGCTTTAAAATTATTATTTTTTTCTTAAGGTTTTATTATTTCTTAAATCATTTGTGAGTTTATTGCTATAGAATTCAATGTTTTAAATTTTAATGTTATTAATGTGAAGTATATTTAGATCATATAATAATGTATTAAAACAAATATAATCTGATAAAACGAAGGCACTTCTTTATGAGTATTTGTAGTATAAATGTTTTTTTAAAAACGAAAGTAACCAACCCAGCACATAACCTGCTAGAACTAACAGGACAACAGTATTGTTTTATTTCAGGATTAAATCAATCACAAAGTAAAGCAACTGATCTCAAATATATAACTTTATACTTTTAGATTTAAAGCAGGTAACATATTACCTGGTAACTAATTTATTTTGAATCTTTGAAGCATGATTTATGCTTTTTCAGAAAGTCCGCAGTTTCCTTCCTTTTTATAGTCACAAAATCTATAAACTATTTCTTCACTAATTTTCTTTTTGTGAAAAATTTTGCTTGATGACTGTATAGCTATAGTTTTAGGTATTTTAAGTGAGATTGCATTGATAATACATGTTTTCTATTCAGTAACAATATTCAGTAGCCAATAAGGCCTCAGTTTTTTTAGCTTTACATAACGTAAATACATTTACATTTTGTTTCGCAATTCCTTGAAAGTAACACATAAGACTCCTTTTCTATTTTTTATATTCATATACGTTTTTAATCGTGATGAGTTATGAATTATTAGTAGCAACAACAGCATTATTTACTTAGTTTTTTTAATAAGAAAGTTACCATATTTACTTTTCTGCTTACATAGAACTTATTTGAAAACAAGGCCTCTGAAATGAATTTGGCTAAAACGCATTAACGTAGGAAGCTTTGGTTTTTCATAACAGATAATTTGATAAATAATCATAAATGTCATGAGAAAACATTAACAAAGAGTGCCACCAATTTTTTGTTAACTATTTTTCGAAGAACGAGTTCTTAAAAATATACTTTTGCAACTCTTTTGTTACGTAACTCAAATTTTTATTAATAGATATAAAAAATCCACGATAATAATCGCTTGGTAACGCAAGTGATGCGACGTAAACAAAATATATAGTACTAAAAAAACCAGTTTTCTTTAGCAGTCATCACTGATAAATTTTTATTTATTTTTTTAATTGGTATAGATTTCTCAACATCTTGTAAAAGTTAAATAATTTTAAAAAATTTTAACTTTTCTCATGGATTGAATTATTATATGCTCAAAAGAAAACTAAAAAAAGTAATTTTCCTAATTGAAAATATATTTATATACTTTTATTTATACCCAGTTTTGTCATCACCTATATTTTACTTTTATAAAATATTGATTTAAAGTTTATGTGAGAAACTATATTTAAACACCACTATTTGAATTTTTGTTAAAA